TAATCCCGCCCACTCTAAAGCGGTACTGATGATTGCAGTAATTGGCCTGGAGAGACCAGTTAAAAGAGCGACTGGAGAACGTGGTGGCAGAGAGAGACGGGATGGAGACTCTTGCACATTGCCCTGCCTGGGAGAGAAACCTGAGAAACTGGATTTGTGCAATTGACGACAGATGTTAGAGCCTCAGGTCTGTAGTTGTTAAGTCCTGTTATCTTGGGTTTATTTGGAACGGGGATGATGGTGGAGCATTTGAAGCATGAAGGGACTTCACACAACTCCAGAGATCTGTTGAAGATCTGTGAAAAGACGGGGGCCAGCTGGTCAGCACAGGTTTTCAGACAGGCTGGTGTCACACCGTCTGGGCCTGGTGCCTTTCTTGGTTCTCACCCTCCGCTATTATCTCCTGGGACAGGAATTCACTCTCTGTTCGGACCACACGCCCCTGCAGTGGCTCCACCACATGAAGGATACCAACGCGTGGATCACCCGTTGATATCTGGCATTACAGCCCTTTAAATTCAAGGTGGTCCACAGGCCGGGGGTGCAGATGGCTGTAGCTGACTTCCTCTCCAGAAATGGTGGGGGGGGGCTGCAGGCCGGAGGGCTCCCCGGCCTGAGTCGGGCGGTGGGGGTATGTGGCGAGGGGGGCGTGGTTCAGCGAAGTCTGCAGCGGGAGAGAGGGACGGGAGACGAGCGGTGAGTAAGTAGGTCAAGTGCAAAATGATGAACACCTGTGTCTGATTGCAGTAATTGGCCTGGAGAGACCAGTTAAAAGAGCGACTGGAGAACGTGGTGGCAGAGAGAGACGGGATGGAGACTCTTGCACATTGCCCTGCCTGGGAGAGAAACCTGAGAAACTGGATTTGTGCAATTGACGACAGATGTTAGAGCCTCAGGTCTGTAGTTGTTAAGTCCTGTTATCTTGGGTTTATTTGGAACGGGGATGATGGTGGAGCATTTGAAGCATGAAGGGACTTCACACAACTCCAGAGATCTGTTGAAGATCTGTGAAAAGACGGGGGCCAGCTGGTCAGCACAGGTTTTCAGACAGGCTGGTGTCACACCGTCTGGGCCTGGTGCCTTTCTTCTTTTGTTCTTCCTGAAGACCTGGCGCACATCGTCCTCACTAATTTGAAGTGCAGGAGGGGGGGAGAGGGTGATTGCAGGAGGTGTTAACGGTTGTGTAGAGAGATGGTCAGAACGGGTGTGGGGGGTTTCGAATCTACAATAAAACTCATTCTGGTCTTCAGCAAGTTGTTGATTCGCCTCAGTGCTGGGGAATGGTGTCTTGTAGTGTGTGATGGCTTTCAGACCTTTCCACACTGAAGCTGAGTCATTGGAAGTGAACTGATCTTCCAACTTTTTAGTGTAGGTCCTTTTAGCCACTCTAATCACCTTATTCAGTGTGTTCCTGGCCTGATTGTACAAGACTCTGTCCCCATTTCGGTAGGCATCCTCTTTGGCCTGACGAAGATGTCTGAGTTTTGCTGTAAACCATGGCTTATCATTGTTGAATGTTAAATAAGTCCTGGTAGGAATGCATATATCCTCACAGAAACTAATATAGGATGTTACAGTCTCTGTGAATTCGTCCAGATCGGTGGTAGCAGCTTCAAAAACACTCCACTCTGTTTCGTTGGTCCATCTCTTTACAGTCTTTACTACAGGTTTAGCAGATTTAAGTTTTTGCCTGTAGGTTGGTATAAGATGAACCAGGCAGTGATCAGAGAGCCCCAAAGCTGCCGTGGGATGGACCGATATGCATCCTTTATTGCTGTGTAACAGTGATCTAGTATATTACTGTCTCTGGTGGGACATGTAACATGCTGTCTGTATTTTGACAGTTTACGGGAAAGATTTGCTTTATTAAAGTCCCCGAGAATTATTAAAACAGAGTCCGGGTGTTGTTGCTCTATCTCTGTGATCTGATTGGCGAGGTTTTGCAAAGCCAGACTCACGTGCGTCCGCGGAGGAATGTAAACACTCACGAGAATGAACGAGTGAAACTCCCGCGGGGAATAGAACGGTTTACAGTTAATGAAGAGCGCTTCTAGATCGGGACAGCACATCTTCTTTAACGCTGTTAAAGAATGCTTTTGCATTCCCATTGCAGGGGGAAGTCGTGGCCTAATGGTTAGAGAGTCGGACTCGTAACCCAAAGGTACAGCGCTCTCTCCCACGTTTACGGGAAAGATTTGCTTTATTAAAGTCCCCGAGAATTATTAAAACAGAGTCCGGGTGTTGTTGCTCTATCTCTGTGATCTGATTGGCGAGGTTTTGCAAAGCCAGACTCACGTGCGTCCGCGGAGGAATGTAAACACTCACGAGAATGAACGAGTGAAACTCCCGCGGGGAATAGAACGGTTTACAGTTAATGAAGAGCGCTTCTAGATCGGGACAGCACATCTTCTTTAACACCGTTACATCTGTACACCACCTTGTGGTGGCCAGTGTGGTGACCAGTGCATAGGGCCCAAAGGTATTTTTATCACTCGTCATGGTGGCAACTCTCAGGCAAGTTGTAGCTTAAAGGGGTCATATGATGCGATTTAAATTTTTCCTTTCTCAGAGGACTGTTTCCTGAACCTGCAGAGTAGCCTACAATGCTTCTGTGCACAAAGGCTGTTTCTATAATGTGGGGAAGTTCCAACTTTGCAAGGACAGTTTAGCGCTTCTGACTCACAGCCTGTAAGTACGTTTACATATTTAAAGAATTTGCCACTGATGATTCAAACGCGAGTTTTGAGCAGTGTAAAGAGTTCCCCACATACTGTACATTCCACATAATGTACAGTATGTGGAAAACAATGTGTTTTTTAACCTTAAACCGCATAAACACATTGCATTACACCAAATACACAAAATAATGTTCTTTTTAGCAACGTCATATGACCCCTTTAAAGCTTTCAGTGGCAATGTGGATTGTTATAATCGTTAGATGTGGTGCATTGCAAATTCAAACAAGAGAACCAATCAAAAGCATCAGAATAACATCGCTTTACTAAAATGGCAGGAAGCATTGTGCACATTCTGAATCAACATGAATACATTAAGTATAATGAATAAACAAATGTAGTTAATGTTAATGGGTTAAACAGCTCTTTAAAGTAACAATTGCAATGTGGGATTATATATGCTTTTAATATTTCCAGTCTTTATTCTTCTCATACTCTGTAACATATGATTATAGTTTTATATGTAAGGCTGAACTTCCTCCTATGTTTCTGTTAAAAACTGATAAGTACATGGTGTACCCGGGAACCGGGACGTATGCCAATGCTTGAGCAGGCAGAGAGGGAGATATGTAGTTGGGATTTCTTTTCTTGGGCACTTCTCTTCTCATGGGCCACTTCTCATCTGACACTTGACTAGTAAGCGACATTAATTAAAGACTCTTCATCTCCACCCTGGACTCCCTGTTTCTTCATTCCAGATCTAACAGCAGGTTACCAATTTTTTACATAATATTTTGCACCACCAGCATATGGTGTTACAGCAGATAAATCTTCATTGATTAAATCAGTTTGTACAGTTTGTATCAGGCATCCTATTACAAATGTGACCCTGTCTGTGAGTCTTTTGTGATTCACTGTTTTCAACATTCAATCATCCTACATAATCTAAAGATTACTCTGTGAAATGATAACCTTGATATCTTAAGTTTGAGTAAAGCCATGTCAAAGATTTGCTGAATGTCAGGCTCCGAAAATCATGTTTTTGAGAAATTCCATTGTAAAGACAAGCTTATTTTTGAACCATAATTATGCTGACTATGTGCCATACCACAGTAAAGCTGAGATTCTTCCATTTTCAGTGATATATGACACATTTGTTGGAAAATTCTTGGTCCCACTTTATATTAAGTGGCCTTAACAACTATGTACTTACATTTAAGTAAATTTACTGAAATTATTTGTTGTAACATTATTAGTAAAATTAAATATCATTAGAAAATGTCATTCATGTCTTTTATTGTTGTTGTTTTTTTCTAGCCTAGAAATACATTGAATCAAGTGTAAAAATAATCACTGCATAGTCTTCATTGTATGTATCCATTACAAATAAACTGATTATTGTTAAAGCTAAAACAATTGTTCATTCAATAGCAGGGAGTGATTCCCTCTGCTCTTTTATTGTTTGATTAATATTAATGATACAAAAGGAAGCAGGTTTAAAATACACAGATCTAATATATTGTTACACATCAGATGTTTTTCCCCAACTGTTCCCCAAAGGTTCAATTAAGACATAATCGACTATGTTTGCGTGAATACACGCCAAGACAGATACTGTAATTCTGTGTGCATCCGAGCCGCTGAAGCGTATTATTATTTTGTAGCTTATTACATTTAATAACTATTTGAACATCAAGCAAGTCCCGCACTTTATTTTCTCATTCATGCATGTTCTTTTTGTAAAAAAAACAAAACCAAAACATCAGACACAAGTGTTTTGCTTTATAAATAAAGTTCTTTATTTAACCTACAATAAAATAGTACAATAATATGCATTATAGGCCTATTTAATTATTTACATTTAATTATACAAATGTTGTGTGAAAGTCCAACTGCAAGGTTAACAGCAGCAGCTCCAGACTGCATTGTTCCTGCTTTATATGTTATATTAACTTTGCATTAGATATAGAATCCATTTAAACCTGTCTGTTAGGGAAAAAAGTGATTTCTAGAGAGTGCATACTGTCTGTAGTTAGCAGATTGAACACCAATGCATTTGAGTCAATCCTCTTTAATCTGTACATTGTAAAGCAAATATTGACAATCATTAAACCATCGTATTGTTAATGTCCAATCCTGCAATAAGACCTGCATTCAGATCTATTGAGGGCCATTAACTGCTGAAATCTCCCAATATCTGTGGGTTCTGCTGCACAGTCAGCGAGTGTTACTGTACTGCAGGGTGCTATTCTCAGCTTCAAAAATCAAAACACGATTTCAAATGAGCTAGAAATCAACTAAAATACTATAAGTGCTCTTACTCACCTGGTTTTATTTTCAAGGCCTGAAGATTGTGTCCTGGAGGAGCGATACAGATCTCAGCACTGCTGCAGCTGCTTTACTGAACAGAAAGAAACTGCTGCAGAAGAAACTTTATATTGTCACATTTTCACTTTCACATTTCACTTTCAAGATGAGTTACAATGATTTTGCACATTCCTGCCCTTACAGTTCATGACATGAATAATCTCAATGCAATACAGCTGGTTAAATATTAAACGGATAAGCAGTTTCCACCAGCACGGCTCATGCACATTCTGACTCACCGATCAAACTCTGTAACTGGGGTCCTGTGCAGGGGGTGAAGAGCAAACACCATTTACAGGAACACACGGAGTTTCTCAGAAGGTGAAACTGAAAGCAACTGAAAGTGAATGTTTCCCTTGAGCCTATGTAAACATGTCTACACCAGTTAAATCATTAGCTGCCAGTACTTCCAGCTCTGATGCAAGTTCTTGAAGTGGCAGTGTAGTTCTCAACATTCATATTGGACAATATTCAGTTTTGAAGAAATTCTTTGTAGCTGCTGAACTGAAAAGACTCTGTGTAACAAATTCAGCATAAACAGTGTCCTCATTTCTGGGACACAAAGTGACCATGTGTTCACTGATACAAATGTTTTTTTCTCCACTTGTTTTATTTATTTATTTACTTAAATCCTTTATGCAGGATGACGTGGTTACCAATTTGACGATAAGCTGCAATAAAAAATTCTGACGGTTAGTATTGCCATTTAATATGCTAATTATACGTTTGCAGCATACTGTATATGTTTAGCTTGAAAAGTTGTCTTTAAACTCTATGTCTCCCTCATACACTCAACATTCAGCACAGACCCAACAGAGTTGCGACAGAGATTTGCCTCATTCAGGCCATGTTATTTGCCATATTCCTTAATAGTTTTCAGCACCATATTGGCTGTAGTATCAAACATCCATTTACATTTATTTGAATAGTAAATATACACATGATGTATTTTAAATGGCTTTTTGATTCTTTAAGCACAATTGCAGCTGAAAATGAGTTTTAATTTAGTTTTTCTAAATCCCTGATTGTAAATAATGGTTTTCACATCAGTCAGTAGATTTCAGTCATGCCTGATTTATGTTATTTTTCTTCCAGATGGCTGGAGGTTGCATACAAAAATGTAGAAGTCAGCCAAGGTGCTTTCATTTGGTAATAAATACTTTGAGAAGATTGCAAAAGTTCTTTTGTTTCTTATTATGATTCAGACAAAGCTTTCCTCCATGTTGGAGCACAACAGGAAAGAGTCCAGCAGTCTGGACCCGATAATAATAGTAATGTAGCGAAGGGCTGGAGTGTGCAAAATCATTGTAACTCATCGTGAAAGTGAAATGTGAAAGTGAAAATGTGACAATATAAAGTTTCTTCTGCAGCAGTTTCTTTCTGTTCAGTAAAGCAGCTGCAGCAGTGCTGAGATCTGTATCGCTCCTCCAGGACACAATCTTCAGGCCTTGAAAATAAAACCAGGTGAGTAAGAACACTTATAGTATTTTAGTTGATTTCTAGCTCATTTGAAATCAAGTGTTTTGATTTTTGAAGCTGAGAATAGCACCCTGCAGTACAGTAACACTCGCTGACTGTGCAGCAGAACCCACAGATATTGGGAGATTTCAGCAGTTAATGGCCCTCAATAGATCTGAATGCAGGTCTTATTGCAGGATTGGACATTAACAATACGATGGTTTAATGATTGTCAATATTTGCTTTACAATGTGCAGATTAAAGAGGATTGACTCAAATGCATTGGTGTTCAATCTGCTTACTACAGACAGTATGCACTCTCTAGAAATCACTTTTTTCCCTAACAGACAGGTTTAAATGGATTCTATATCTAATGCAAAGTTAATGTATAAATAAATACAATTATAAATAAAAAAAAAGGCCTATACCTTGAAGCACAGATGTGTCTGTCACTTTAAAAATATGAAAATTCTGTCATAATTTACCCAGGTTGTTCTAAACCTGTATAAAGTTCTTTCTTCTGTTGAACACAAAAGAAGATACTTTGAATAATGTGGGTAACTAAACAGCTGCTGCCTGGTCCTCAGTAACTTAAAAAAATATATAAATAAATAGGTAAATAATAATAATAATAATAATATCAGAGTCATTGAGGACCAGAAACTCTTTGGTTACCCACATTCTTCAAAGTATCTTCTTTTATGTTCAACAAAAGAAAGAAATTATTACAGGTTTGGGACAACTTGTGGGTTTGTACCATAGACTGTAAAAAAAGATGGACGACGCACCTTCAATCTCTTCCATTGAAGAAAAGTGAAGCCGCCATTGTCCCAACAGGGCGCGGCCATATTGCGCTGATTTGGGACCAGAGTCTGTGCAGTAGAGAACTCGGGACCAGAGTCTGCGCAGTAGAGAACTAAGTGGAGCCGCGTCCCGCCCACACTGCCGCAGAGTCGATCACAAGCACACGCCCCTGACCCCGTTTTAATTAGCCTGACTGCTCCAATTTTTGTCTGCTGAGAGGATCGTGTTAAAATAAGGTAAATACAACCCCAATATCCTCCTAAAGTTCCCAACACCTGGGGGCGATCGAAACGTGATGGCTTCACTTTTTAAGACTCGTGCGGCACACTTGGTTTGTACACAATGACAAAATTTTCATTTTTGGGTGAACTGTTCCTTTAAGTCAGACAGTCTGCCGTGAACAACCGCTCCACTGCAAACGGCGCGTTCATCGTTAGTTACTGGACAGACACATTGATAACTTTCCCGTTCAGCTCTACATCTGGAGAGTCTTGTCTTCAGAGGGCAGACGTGAGCTCCTATGTTTTAAACCGCACAGGTTTATTTGTAAGTGAGCAAAGGACCAAGTTCTTACTGACATGGTCTGGATCTTCATTAAAAATAAAGTTTATCCACTCTTTCCTAATGTTGGGATAGCTTGGCACTGAACAGTGTCTTGTCTTCGGAGCATCTTTATTGTTTGCTTTCTGTGTAGACTTGCGTTCGCCTCTTGTTATTTACACTACATACGCAAATCGGTGGGCCTGGCTAAACAGGCAGCAATGTATAATCAGTGGGTGGGGCTAAACAAGCAGTGTTGTAGAAGCAGGCGGAGACGGGGTTTAGCCACACTATTGCATCATAAGCCCTATTCGCACGGGATTAGTATTACCTGGTGATCTCCAGTCATTTGTAATAATTGCAGGTTGTCTGTGATCTTAAACCCGTGCGAATCGGCCATGTCTGTAATTTGTAAAGTAAAAATTCCCCCGCAAATGACCTACCATATTTCGCAGAACACCGAGGTCCTGTGATAATATTAGTCCCGTGCGAATCGGCATCTCTGTGATTCGGCCAGCATTTGGCGGGTCGCATATTATTTTTCGAGGTTTTTGTTTGCTGTGCGCCTTTTTATCCATCTTTCGCGAAGAATGGAGCTGCGTTGGAGTGTTTGATAGTATTTTGGGTGCTGTCATATTTCTACACCATACAATTTGCAGAAAGAGAAAGCTGAAAAGGTTTTCAGGTTAATGGGTTACAAATAAATCAAGCATAAAGCTCGTTTTGGGTGCTGTTATATCGCTACACCATACAATTTGCAGAAAGAGAAAGCTGAAAAGGGTTTGAGGTTAATGTCTTACAAATAAATCAATCATAAAGCTTGAGATATTATTTTAACCTGATGAAATGTAAATGACACAGCACACGAAACTATATTAGTTTCTTTTTTTTTAATCCATTTAACCGGACCATAGAACGGGACTCTCAAAGCCTTGACATCGTATCCGAGAGATAAGTCAGTAAATTCGAGTAAAATCACAGGCTTCGCTTATCCCATGCGAATGCACCACACGAAATTCAGATGTGGGGGGTTAATTTCAAAATCACACAAGGTCCCCAGATAATACTAATCCCGTGCGAATAGGGCTATAGAGTGGCACATTCCACAAGCTGTCGTTTTGGCATATTGACTTCAATAGAAGCTGTTTTTAGACTAACTAGAAAGTTTTGAGTTCTGAAACTTACAGGATATCTTTATAGTACATTGATCTCTATATTTACATTTACATTTACATTTAGTCATTTAGCAGACGCTTTTATCCAAAGCGACTTACACAGAGGATACAGAACAGTTATCAGAAACGTCAAAATTTACAGAAAATACACTCTCGTCATCATTTTTTTCCACAATATCACTCAAAGGGAGGAAATTTACACACAAAAGAAGGTTTCTGTGTACCACCTTTAACTGACCAGATACAGGGTGTTTAATCTTGTAAATGTGGGTTTTAGGATCACGATCAACCACAGTATATACCACATTTTCCCACTTGTCTGAAAGTTTGCGCTTGCCGCGTTCACTTTTATTGGCTAATAGGACCCTGTCACCAACTTCAATTTTCACACCCTTATTTTTGTTTGGCACAATTCATTACAAATTTCTTTTCCCCGTTACACATGCACTGGTTGTACACTCGTTATTTCAGTGCACTATGGGTTTGAATAGTACCCTATTTAAGGGTAAAGGGGGTGCTTTCTGATTCAGCCTCAGTTCCTTGAGGACCACAGACCTGCAGAGTTTAGCTTCAACTCTAATTAAACACACCAGATCCAGCTAATCAAGTCCTTCAGGCTTATTTGTAAGCTAAATTTCTAGTTTGTACGTAAACTGGCCCTTCAGGAACTGAGCTTTGTACCGCTCTTTGTTAATATAATAAGTGGCTAAATGAAAATGCACTGCTCATGTAGTATGTGGGAAGACACACACTGTACATCCACTGATATCAAGCAATGGCTAGGAAGACATTTGTGAATGCATCACTTATCTTACCAGTGAAAGCAATGTTCGTGTGGTGCACAGTTGCCCATACGGATAATCTGTCTATGTATGGAGTCTTATTCATTTTTATTTATCACAGTAACACGTCAGTGTAAATTAAATTATTTTTTCTCTTTTTATTTCAAGACCCTAAAATAAAGAATCATGTCTTGGAGTGTTATTTTCTACCCTGGAAATCCCGAAAGAAGGGAAAGGCTTATCCGCAAAAGTCAAGAGCTTCGAGAATTGATGAAAAACAACTTCAGAGCCACCAAC